AAACCAATCCCGCATGACCTTTCCCGTGGAAAACGACAGCCTCATCCGCAGGACAAAAAAACTCCAATGTCTCCACCATCGCATTCGGCTCCCTTTCCATACCATCATAGACCACTTTCTCCGGTGGATCCATACCTGCCATTTTCCACTTTGATGGTAGAAAGTTCTTCTCCATGACATCTGTTAACATCTTCGGCTTTCTCTCTCTCCGCACAAGTGCCGATATGTTAGCCACCCGCTCGGCAGATGATGGACCTGCAGCTTGAATATCTTCAAACAAGGGAATAGTGTTGCGATGAAAATCCCCGTCGTTGAAGTACATGATGACCACCATTCTGTCTGTGTCCTCCAAAGGCAAGTTTGCAACCTTATACAATTTCCCCTTTGTTTGTTGTAGACGAGTCCATTTGAGAAGATCCAATTGAATGTCCCACATCGCGACTAACCTCAAGAATGTGAACTCGCAAGGGCGTGGAACGAAGCACAACAATGTCCAATACTCGCCGCCAAGTTTGTCCATGAACTTCTTGAGTTCAGCAAACACTTGTTCAATCCAAGTACCCATCTGGGTCGGGCGGCACAAATCCAAGATGGTTGTGTGGCACGTCAGGTGTCTGACGGCTCTAAACATCTCCTTGCAATCCATCTCGTCTGAAACATCGCTCGGTTCCCACTGGAACGGCACGAATACAGATGTCACGTCCTGTTCCTGGAAATGTATGTATCTCGCTTGTCCCGACATACGAATGCTATGCGAACCCCCAGTTTTAGATCTACGCAACAACTTGTTGACAAATTGAATGAACTCTTTGGGGCATTTATTTGCAAGCGATTTTGTTTTCTTGAAGCCCTCCTCTCCTTTCTCATCCTCGCCTCCAAGTGTAGCCGGAAATGACCGCACCCAACTCGTTTCTTTGAAATGTCGTCGCTGGTCGATCCACCTCTCCGATGTCAATCCCTGATCAGAATACCTAGCGAACAAATCAGAAAGGTTGTCGAAAAATGGTTCCTTCCACTCTAATGACTTCTTGTGAGGGTAAAAAATGAAGACGAAGTAGTGAAACATTCTCAACATTGCTCTTTCCTGCTTCACCATTTCTACGTATGTCTCCATTGAATGTTTTCCGGCAGTGTGAGCAAATTTACTTAGCCTTGGAGCCAGTACGACACTTCCCGTGAGAACGTCTCTCAACAGCTGCAGCCTCTCACGCCTCCCCAACGTAGACATAGCCTTCCATGATCTGACATCCGGATCGCGCACATCCACGAGGTAACCAGGTCCTCTAGTACCCTGAATCCAGTGCACTGGAACCCTGACTCCTTTTTCCAACTCAAATCCGGGGCCAGGTCTCGGCGCTTTCCCCGATTCACCTTGTTTGGTGGCAGGCTTCACACCATCTCTCCCCGGCAACTGTCCACTCTCCCAAGTAGAATACACTTGTTGCACCTTCTCGAACACATCGTCCGTCGCCCTTGCCAATATCATGTAAGGCCCGAGGAAGTCGGACCAGTCCTTGCTCCAAGCCTGAAGTGAAAGAGTAACCAAATGATTACTCCCGGTCGCGCGCAGAGTCATCGCCGCAAACTCTCTGTAATCCTTATTTTTGACGTCTGCAGCAGATCCGCCTATAGCTTCTGGACGACTGGCTGCTTGCCACAACTTTCGTATGTTCTTAATGATAGCAAACTAGTGCGGAAAAGTATTCCATTTGTCCTTCGCATTTTGGAAAGTGCTCAAGGTGCAGTAATTTTTCATGCTCCTATCCGGATAGTAAACAGGCCTTGCAGTCCAGCAATCCAACGGAGCTCATGGGCGATGTCAGGGCGTTCTTAAGAACATTTCCTCGCCGCCTCAACATTGTGTTGACCACTGAGAGGGTACCAGTAGTACTTGCGCACGGATTGGAGATTGAATTCGCGGGGCGTCACTCTTCTCGCCCTCACATTCGTATCGGAAGCGTCAGTATGCATTGTATCATGTAGCCCAATCAATTGAAGGACAGGCTTCTCGTACAATGCACATACATTCACCCCGGCTGCCCCGGTCGTTCTCTCTCTGATAGCTGCCTCACCCGACTCAACCATTGTTTTGTAAAGGTCATCAATAAGCTCCTGATCGAGGAAGCGTTGATTATATCTGAATTCCTCATTAGGGATATCCAAAATCCTGTCCAACTTGACAGAAATGAACTGCATTTCCGGCCTCTGGTTACCATTCTCGTCGAACTCAAGGAAGAAGCCCTTGCTCAGATGACCAGATGAATTCCCATGCGGCAGAATCTGCAAACCGGGCGGTCTGGTGACTGTCTTGCCCACAGCGTCTTCATCTGACTGTGGCTGGTCCGGTGGAAAAACGGAAGTTTTTTCCATCACACCTCCCTTCGCTGCTTTTTTCCTTGGCTGCCGTTTATTCTTCATGGCCTCCTCAGCCTCCCGCGTACGTTGGACGGCCTCCTCAACTGCCAGCATTTTCAACTTGTGTTTGCCCTCCTCTTGCTTGGCTCCCCCCTCCTGCTTGGTTTTCTTACTCTCCATAGCACTTCTCCTCTCTTGCCTCATCTTCCTTTTCTTCTCAGCTAGTCGTACTGCATCGGCATGCGCCGGCTCGACCCCAACTTCGCGGTGCATTTCCCCGCGCCCTGGATCCGCTTCCCAATGCCCATGACCCGGCGCGAGCAGCTGCGTTCGTTTGGAGCCCCGATGCACTTCTGCATACCCTCCCTTGCCGGTCGTTTCCTCTTCTTGCCCTTCGTCCTCATACTCAACCCCTAGACGACCCTCCAACTCGTCCGGCCCACCCTTGTCGCTGATTGTGTGTTCACTCTCTACTTCCTCTTCTTCGCCACCCTCCTCACATTCTTCACGTTCTTCATCGTGTCATCTTCTTCGTTGTTCTCCTCGTCGTCATCTCCAAAATAATGCGACCTAGCAGGAATGACCAACTCATAGCGCGGCGGGCGGACCAAGGAAACGGGTTCCTTGGTTGATGTTAGTCTACGCTTCACAGGGGCTGACAGCACGATTTGGCCGCGATACGGACCTTTCTTCCCGATCTGCCCTGATTTCGGAACTCGTGTTGCAGCAACCGTAGTCCGAATTGATGGCGGAGGGCGGGCACCTATAATGATCGATTTCGACGACGGACCCGCCTGCAAAGACGACGAAAGCACACTTTTCGGTTCTGATATGCGGTCGGAAGCATGCACCACCGGCTCATGCCCTGCGACCACATGTCTGTCGAAGAATGAGAAAACCGATCGAAGGTCCGACAACGTCAATTTCTCCATCCCAGGCGGATTGAAAATGTCATAAAGCCTCTTGCCGTACCCAGCGTGTTTGGCCCAACGAAGAGCAACGCATTTGACACCCACTATCCGCTCACCTCTAGCGTTAAGGACCATCGTCAACTCCAACATGGCCGACGGTGATTTTTCTCCACTCCACTTAACCACACCGCCAATCGGAACAACGTTATCTCTTATCACCACGTACAAAACCAGCCCACACGAGCGTTCCCCGATTCCACCCACCCAGTCCAACATCTAGCACTTGTCTTTATGGTCGATGACAGGCACCTCGTCTCCCACACCTGCAGCGGACGTGTCACCAGACCTTTTACGCCTCAGCACAACGTCCATCGCAGATTTTCCCTGCCGACCAGTAGCCTCCTCTTCTTGACCCTCAGCCCCACCACTCATCAGCACAGCCGAATCCGGACCCGAACCTCAAACATGGGCGGAAGGAGTGCCCGTAGAAGGTGCACCCCGCAGCACCGGGGTTCGGTGGGCCTTAGACCCCGGCGTGTCGCCAGCCCCCACGCCAGCCGTCCGTGTCCCCTTCGTTTTTTTCGGAGACTGCTCCATGCTCCCGGAACCAGCACTAGTACGTCGTTTGTTTGGCTTCCCCTCGTGATCCATGCCGAGCAGCTAGTCCCAACTGAAGAAAACGCACAAGCGAGAAAGCAGTCATTGCTTTGCCAACGTGCAAACACCACAACACTTGAGAACAAGAGTAGACAGGAACATAGAGCAACTGAAGTGGGCCGTAGCCCGCCAGCTCGTCGTCATTTCATTGTCGTGTCGAACTCGACGGCCATGCCACGACGTCCTCCAGTACCGTCGAATCCGACACGAGAGCGACATTGCGGTGTCGTCGTGTCACTGTCGTGTCGAACCCGATGGCACTGCGAGGGCTGACCAACCGTCGTGTTGGACACGACAGCTACACTGTTGTCTGCCGTGCGACAGTCGACCAAGCGGCCCTTCATGCACCGTCTGGTCGCCAGATAACAGTGTCCATGTCGTGTTCGACATGATGGTCGTCAAACGGTGCCTGTAGGGGAGCTGACCGTCGTGTTCGACACGACAGCGACACTGTCGTCTGCCGTTCGACAGTCGACCAAGTGCCCTTTCGGGCACCGTCCCGAATTCGACACGAGAGCGACATTGGGGTGTCGTCGTGTCACTGTCGTGTCGAACCCGACGGCACTGCGCGGGCTGACCAACCGTCGTGTCGGACACGACAGCTACACTGTTGTCTGGCGTGCGACAGTCGACCAAGCGGCCCTTCATGCACCGTCTGGTGGCCAGATAACAATGTCCATGTCGTGTTCGACACGATGGTCACCAAACGGTGCCTGTAGTGGAGCTGACCGTCGTGTTCGACACGACAGCGACACTGTCGTCCGCCATTCGACAGTCGACCAAGTGCCCCTTCGGGCACCGTCTGGCGACCATCGTGTTGAACACGACAGCGACACTGGGGTGTGTTGTGCGACATTTGTCGGGTTCGACACAATGCTCGACGGACGTGTGTACTTTTGGCCACTGAACACATGACGAGAACAACTAGCAGATACCGTGTATTGTTATCGAATAACACATTGAGAACAACGATCGAGAACAACCAGCAGATACCGCGTATTGTTATCGAAATAACATATTGAGAACAACAATTGCAATGCGAATTCCACGAGGCTGTCTATCGACTACGGAAAACAATCTCGCCTTTGCGGCCATTTCGGCCATTCAGTATGCCGTTTTGGCCATCCAGTATGATGAAGGCTATCTACTGACTACGGAGAACAATCTCGCCGTTGCGGCCATTCATCACGCTAATTGGCGATCCGAAGGTCAGCTGCTGCGCCGTCTCAGCAAACACCGAAATGTATGTCATTCGCACGAACCTGGAGTTCCCGACGAGAGAAGCGCCTATAGCATCCCGAATTGAAACGAGTTTAGCCTCGACCTCGCGCCATGCGACAACGTCCTCCACCTGGCCACCCACCACGATATCCAGTCTCCCATCTACCCTTCTTTGAACTAAACACATATCCTTCCCTGACATAGACAACTCGTTCCTGGACACATATACGACAGCATCGGTCAAGTTTCTTGCCCTGCTCGAAACGGCAATACAGAGGACCCTACAGAAGATAAAGTATGCCAGACGCAATCTCACACAACAATACGAAACTGCTCCTAGCAACAGACCGGGAGATCGCAACGGATAATGATCGATGAACTGAGAATGTCGCGCACAATCGAGTAACTCCTGTTCCATAACACGGCACCAGGTGCGAGGCGAGGTTGTCCCGTATTCGCAGTCCAAGCCCCCCACAACACGGCTTATTTTTAGTTTTTTACACAGTAGCGGCAAGTGCACGGGACGCAGCACATACGCAGCACATCGAACGACACGGGAATGCGTTTGCCGAATTCAGACATATTCGCGAACTCATAATCGCACGTCCACGGGCATCTCTCCATCATGTTCACCCACTCGCACTCCTCCCACGAGTCCAAATGTTTGTCGCCAAACGGGAGGATTCTCATCCAAGGGTCGCATTCGAAGTCTTATGGACAAGCGCCTTCATAGGTTACGCTACCCTGACATTGTCGGACGTACAGCGCGCAAGGTGGGAATGGGTGTGCCTTGCGTGCACGCCGAAGTGTTGGGGTCATATGAGAGATCTCCATAGCAACAGTGAAGAGAAGACGCCCTGCACGGCACAACGGCAACGGTCAACAGCAGCAATAGAACAACCAACAGCAGCATAGAACTATTTGCCCTGCTCCCACAAACAATGGGACAAACCAGGCTGCACGACAGCACAATGCGCAGAATCTTTGAGCGCAATCCACACCCATGCACGGTTTATAGCACTGCACACAATCATGAACGATTCAATGACATTGCACAGCGTACATTCTTGTTCCACTAGAGGACAGGGAAGGATTGTGTTCGACTCAACGTGTTCGACACGACGATCGTGTTCGATTCGACGATCGTGTCCGACTCGACAATCGTGTCCGGCTCGACGATCGTGTTCGACTCGACTATCGTGTTCGACTCGTCTATCGTGATAGATTCGACGATCATATTCGACTATCGTGTTCGACTCGACTATTGTGCTAGAGTCGACAATCGTGTTCAACACGACAACAGGGCACTCGACGAACGTGTTCGACTCGACAAACGCAGTCGACGATCGTGTTCGACTCGACGGTCGTGTTCGACTCGACGATCGTGTCCGACTCGACGAACGTGTTCGACTCGACGATCGTGTTCGACTCGACGATCGTGTTCGTCTCGGCGAACGTGTTCGACTCGACGATCGTGTTCGACTTGACGTATTCGACGAACGTGTTCGACTCGACAGGGCACTCGACGAACGTGTTCGACTCGACAAACGCAGTCGACGATCGTGTTCGACTTGACGATCGTGTCCG